CTCCTTTCCACTGAGATCAGCAACTATGAGCAATGCCTCTTCTAATCTGGCAGATGACTAATTAACTGATAAAACATAGGTAATAGTGGGTGCATCTATATGTGCTATTAGCACAGAGCAATAAACTCCAGTGCAATTTGCACCGGAGTTTATTGCTCCTGGGCAAACTGTTTGAACATGTGCCCGGGACTGCAGCACATTGAGCTGGAATGGAGCATCCCCAGCTGGCAGGGGGACCCAGAGGTCAGCCTGTGAGCCCATGGTTGCTATGACCTGGCTCAATGTGCTCTGGAGGGACTGGCTGGGGCATGAGGGTGCTACAGTGTGGGGCTAGCCAGGAGGTATCCCCATACTGTAGCACCCTTGAGCCCCAGCCAGCCCTGGTCAACATCTACACATATGTTCTGGTGGAGTAAATAACTCCACTGTGTTGGGCAGTGGAGGTAATTAATTTACTCTGGCCTAACAGCCCTGCACATGTAGATCCTGATGCTCTACTGTGGAGCTAATTAGGTAACTCCACAGTTAGTGTCTCATGTACACGCTCCTATCAGGTACAGTTCTGGTCCCTTGTGTTCAGGAATGATAAATTCAAGCTGGAACTTGTACAAAGAAGGGCTACTAAGATATCAGGGGAATGGAAAGTGATAGATATGAAAGGAGATTAAAACAGCTTTACTTATTTAGCCTGACAGGTATAAACCATATCAGCTGGAAATAAGAGGAAGGTTTCTAACCATCATAGCAGCAAGATTTTGGAACAGTCATCCAACAGAACTAGAAGAGGCAAAAAAAAACCCCAAACAAAAAGACCGAAACCCCCCCACATACACACACCAACCCCGCCCCCAGCCAAACCAAAGCCAAACCAAAAAAAACCTAACTGATTTTAGAATGGTGCTTGAAAATTTCTCAAAGGTATTATATGGTATGGGGGTCTGAAGTAGCAAGGGACTGGATCCAGTGACTCAGAAGATCCCTTCTAGTCCTAAATTTCCACCTGCCAAATGTGCCTTTGGGGGAACGCATCGTTCATGCCTGTTCAAGTGTTTTACTACCCTCCTAGTTAGAAAATTCTTCCTAATATCAAACCTAAACTTGCCTTGCTGCAACTTGAGACTATTGCTCCTTGTTCTGTCATCTGCCCCCACTAAGAACAGTCCAGCTCCATCCTCTTTCAAACCACACTTCGGGTACTTAAGGGCTGCTATTAATTCCCCTCTCAGTCTTCTCTTCTCTAAACTAAATAAGCCCAGTTCCCTCAGCCTCTCCTCATAAGTCATGTGCCCCAGCCCCCTCAACATTTGTATACCATACTTTTATAGTCTGTTCTCTCACAACTTTTCCTTCTCTCATATTCCCCTTCTTCCCCATCCCCCATGATATAGTAGGTGATGCCAAATGCTGATGTTTACAAACTAAGGCACACTGAGATACAGCTTGGAGAGTCTTTCTATATATAAATCAAAAAAAATTTTATTTGTAAATACTAGGGCCCAAGTCCTTAACTGGTGAGAATCAGCACCACTTCACTGAGGTTCCAGAAGGGGCTTAAAGCATTAGAAACCAGTTCCTTTCTATATAATCATCATCATTTCCAATCAAATGCCAAGAGAAACTCTAAGTCTGTAATAACAGCTATGTATTATTGATATAAAAAGGTGTAAATGCATGCACCTGAGCCCTTACAGAAAGCATAAAAACAAAGATCCATGTCCAAATTGTTTATTGTGTAATCTAATGCAAACAAAATATGATCCTTAGGAATCCTTACTGAAATGTGTAGCCTGAGCCTGTAATTCAGAATATGTTTGCTAAATAACTTTCCGTCAGTTTTTCTGACTTGCTGAGTATTAGACCTACAAGAACAAAAGATATGCAAGTGTAGGCAATAAATAAACCAATCTAAAAATACTAACCAAAGACAATAGCAGTGTCAACCTGACATAGCTTTGGAAGGTTTTATAATTCATCTTGTTATTTTGAAAAAAAACTTTGTGCAGCTGTGTACTTAGTTTGGAGTCTAGGTAAATGTGTTGTTCTGATACCTCAAAATCTTCCATCCTTGGTTTGAAGAAAGCCTTGCTCCTCATTTTATGGAACATTGCTATACAGACCCCATGCTGAAAAGTGGGTGCTTAAAGACACACAGTTGTTTCTGCTTTTGCTACATTTCCCCCCTTTCTGCTGATACCTGACATGCCCACCCAGGGACCATCTTTGTAAAATATACAAATAGATTTCTTCTTTTATTTGGCTTTTAGCTTCTTTATCATAACTTTTCCCTGTAGGCCATGTAGGATACTATGTCCATTATCAGGACTATAATAGCTGCTACAGCAATAAAAGCATACTAAGACACTGTACGCTTTCAAGTATAAAGAAAAAAGGAGGCTCAGGAATGAAAATGCTCTGATTATTTCATAACTCACAGGACTGGCCAAATTCTTAGCTATAAAAATGGCACAGATGCATTATTTTCTCTTTAACGCTAGATCAGGGAACTAGATCTAGCAAAAAGTGCTAGAGTTTCATAAGATTCTTAAAAGAAATTGTGTACTACTAAAATTGCTGCCTGCTCTGGCACTGCATTCAGTAAAAATGCAATGAAATTCTCGAAGTACCTATTTTCTAAATTCCAGAGCAGAAATTTAGTTTGATCAGTTAAAGGCAGGACATGAAGAGCCATCTTCATATTTATATGTATGAGAGACAATGCATGCATAAATGATACACTATGGAGGTATATTTTATCTCTGGTGGACTGCAAGCAATGAGCAAAGGATATGGACCATGCACTTGCCTATTCTTTACTTAAAGTCTTACTGGCTAATTCTGGCCTTCATCCTTGCGTACAGATGCAACACTGGAGTTGCAGAGTCCACAGGAAAATTGCTGCAGTAATTCAGGACCACTGCCAGCAGCCTTGCACACTCACCACTCCAGCAGATGCTGGCACAGATTCAGTCTGATGAGGATTCTGCACTGCTCAGTTTCCCACTGGCAGCCTTGGTAGGGACTGAACTAAGCTGGTGGCAGCTTCTGCCCTGTGGCGGCTTAGAATCCAGAGGATACATTCATCCTGCTGGGCTGGACTTTCATTGCTGTGTTTCTCAGGGATAGCACACTAAGTCCCTTCACATATTAGCAAAAAATACCCTGAGATGCAACAACTGCTCTTATCAGAATAATGTTACATGTTATTTAGGACTAGATCATGCCCGGCAAGCACATGTTGGCACTGACCCACAAGAAGCTCTGGCAGTAGCGTGACTCAAGCCAGATGGTGCGGAGAGTGTGGGGACTAGTGTCTTGGCTTCCCTTAGCCCCTGATGGTGTGGCTCGTGGCATATGCTCAGAAGGAAAGGATGGGGAATGCAGAGTGTGAGACTGGTACTTATGCAGAAGCTTCATGCAACCCTTCATAGATAGGGCAAGTTTGGTTCCTGATTTAAAAACCTGTAGGGACAGGAGTGTTTCAGAAAAAAAAAATGCAGATATGGATTGCTCATTGGCATTTTGTTCTGAAAATTTCTAGATTTGTGGATGTTCTTATCTATAGTTCTGCAAACTGAGTTTGGTTTTGTGTTTGTCTCTTTTTACAAGGTGCATATATATGGAAGAAGGAAGAGAGAGCAAGTGAGTGAGGCCTTGGCTCTTATATTATTAAAGCAATTAAAGTGTTTTCTCTTCAGTGTCAACCACCATACTTGCATTTTTCTAAAGCTCTGGCTGATGTTTGCATTTTTTACTCTTTAATCTTTAATTCTCTTGGCAGCCTAAAAAACAGGGCACAGATTACTTTAAGGGAGATGGAGGGGCATTATTTTACTTACAAGTCGTCAGGGAAAACTTGCAAGATGTAAATACTGTATAATTCTGTAGTCTACCAATTGAAAACCAAATTCACTCCTGGGTTTGCAAAATCAAAAACTGTAGCCAGAATACAAGTTGGCGGGTTTCATCGAAACCAAACTTGCCTTTGCTGCTTGGTGATCTAGTAGATAGCTTCTTGATTACTTCCTCTTTATTAATTACTATAACAATCTCTTGAGTTTGATTTCACAAAAGAACTATGTTGAGGAAACTGCTGAAAACTGGCAAAACCGCATTAATGCCAATGAAGGTAATCTCTACTGAGTTGCAGTCATTTACACCTATGTGAAGTACTGGCAGAGGGGTATCCAATGCTGCCCAAACCTGTTTAGCATTCTGCATAGGTACCTAAGGAGTGAGGCAGTACATACTCAGATTTTGCTCTACCAGTCTTACTGAGAAACTGATTTTATCGCCGCATTCACCTTCACATGGAACCACTTAGTGCAAATGTACCAGTTCTAAAAGTTTACTATTCTACCCTTTGGATTCTGAACTCATTTGCCAGCATAAGCAAGGACTACATTTGCCTGTAATTTAAACTGTGCTGAACAATCAGATATGGCAGCAGCATGGGAAAACAAATAGCTCTGTTTTATCCCGAGAACATGGGCAGCATAGACTGTGCTTATCAATCTTCTTCATAGTTCTAAAAACCAGACCTCTTCAAAGTTCCCTCTTTTCTGACAAGAAGTCCAGATCTCTTAATTAGTCTCATCATTTAAAATTTCGAAGACCAGGTAATGTTACAGTTGTCCTTACCCTGTCTTTTCCAAGTCATCAAATATCCTTCCTAATGGCATGACTCATCAGAACTGCTGGTTATGGTATTCCAGATAGGGTCAAATTAGCGCTTCTCACAGTAACACTATCACCTTTTTTGTATTTTCTCCCTTTATTAATAAACCAGTCTTATGTCTTTTCCAGAAGAGCTATGCATACGGTTGTTGTTAAGCTAAGGACGTATGTTGAGACTGCTGTGGATGTGATAGCTCCCACCAACAAGATATAAAGGTTTTTAATAAAATTAAAGAATGGGGAATAAAGGCATGAGACCAGTAAAATGAGACCATTTGAGCTACCCTTTGTGTGAAAACATGAGACCCCCTGTGAAAAAGTCTTACCTTTTTAAGCAGATGGTAGAGGGTCAAGGCTGCTGTGTCCAATTGTTAAAGAACCAGGAAGACTCTCTGGCTCCTGTACAAAAATATCAACAAATATATTAAATTCTGGCTCATTTTGAATTTAGTGTAAATGCATCATAACAGCTCTGACCGGGCCTCGTTATTATTTTTTTTTAATCTGGTCAATCGGGGCATAGTAGCTCAGACCCTTTACTCTGCCCACCTCCTTTGAATGTAGACGTCAGGGGGCCAACAAGGAGCAGCCTTCACGCTGGCCCTGGTACAGAAGCCTGGAAGCTGTCTGAAGCCAAGCCAGCTGATACCAAAAGTTTTTTGTCAGATGGGGCCAGGTAGGGGGCAGCTTCCCAATGCTCTGGACCACACCTCAGCTGGGGTAAAACTCTAAAGCTTCATTGATTGCAGTGGGGTGGCATCAGTTCACAGCAGCCAAAGATATGGCTCTAGAGCTCTATTTAAAATCTTTTCTTCAAACTATTCCTTCCTCACTTGTAAAATCGTAGCCATTAACAAGCTTAAGATGAATACGTTATGACAATATCTGTAGTACTCCCTGAACACCCTTTTACTTATTTGAAGAAATGCTTTGGCTCCATGATAATTAGCAGGTTTAAAGGACCACAAGTGCACCTTTATCATAGATACCTTTCCTTTATTCTCTTAGCTATATCTTTGAGTAAAGGACAGAAAGGAGATTTTTAAAAGTACAACAGGTAGCTGGGAACCAAAGTTCTCACTGCTCACCAGTGGCATTAGCTACTGAACTGCCATATGTACATTTGAACACCTACTTTGTACATTATGGGTAGAGGTGTCCATACCTATAGTTCCCAGCACTTCCCATTATTAATCCAGACTTCAACTGCTTAAAATATTGCCCAATTTCAGCCTTTTACATTCAAATCTTCCAGGCCAGATGTCTATCTTAGGTTATTCTTTCTTTCTTTTTTTAAGATTCAGCAAAAGATGTCAGCCATTTCCAAGAATGAAAGTAGAGAGATATAAGTTGGTTGGACCATGTTAAAAATGATGAAAAAGTAGAAATAAAATTATATGTGATCAGGTAAGTAAGGATTATCAAAACAAATGCACCAGCAGCTGAATGAAGGTTGCAAAGGTAACTGCAACTCAGGCATTTCCTAATTTTTGAGTGCTTGATTTAGCCTTATAATATACCTTTATTGTAGGCTTTGTGTGCATACGCACTCCATGTTATTGGCAACAGGCTGTGTTAATTACAGTTTTTCACCAATTTGTTTAATTTGTATTTAGGTTTGTTCTGAAACATCTGACAGGTTTTGCTTCCTAAACATTACATCTTGAAGAGGAAGGTTTCATAAAATTCTGACAGTGAATTAATATCAAGTGACTGCTGCATTCTACAGCACAGACCCTCGGTAGAGCACACCATTCACCTCTGTGCAGTAATTAGTTACATTAAATGAGCTCTGTAGAAATGAGGCTCCAGCCTGCATTGATTTTACCCACCCACAGGATGCAGAGGAATTTTAAAATAAACTAATTAAATTTGCTGTGGCTCAGCAGAATGATCAATGTGCTACAGACAGTGGAGCCTATTCAGCACTTCCAGCCCTGACAGGCATTCTGATGTGTTGCCTGTGCAAAATAATGCTATGTGGTCTGATCTGGGGGAGGGGAATCTATATCTCTAGGGAAGGTTGTTTACAGTGGATAGACATTTTAGACAAGGATATAAACAGAAGCATTGAAAAATCTGTAAAATGTACAGTGATTTGCTGGATGAATAAGCCAGCACTTTTATGCTCTCCAGTAATGCTGGGGTTGGACATGTGCTCTTTAATGTTCTTAAACTGTACAAAATATGCCAACCTATAACTTATGGCTAAAGCCAAGTGAGCAACAGGTTTTCTATGCCAGGAAAGTTTCAGAAATGTTCCCTTTGTAAACTGGAATGAAACTAAGGCCTTTCAAAGATGTCTGCATAAAATGAGAGATACCCCTACCAAGTAGCCAGTATCTAACAGCCCAGAAGTTAGGGCATCATCTGGAATGTGGAAAATAAAATTCAAGTTCAGAGTGTGAAATAAGCCAGAGAAAGGACTTGAACTTGATCTTACTGGGTGCATCTACACATGAAATTAATGCAATGCAATAAAATCTGGGGCATATTGCGTGTTTACACACGTGCCCAGGACCATGGTGTGTTGAGCCATGTTAGAGCAGCCCCAGCTGGCAGGGAGACTGAGGGGGTCAGATTGCCTGCCTGAGGCTGCTCTGACTTTGCTCAACATGTTTCAGAGGGGCTGGTTGGGGCACAAGGGTGCTTTAGCGTGAGGGCTAGCTGGCAGGCAGCACCTGCACTGAAGCACCCTTGTGCCCTAGCCAGACCTGCCAGCATCTACACATGCACTACTGTGCACTAAATAACACTGCCATAGGATAGTACTTTTATTTACTTATGGCAGAGTTAATTAGTTTACTGTGGACTAACAGGGCCCCATGTGTAGCTGCTGAAACTATTGCAGAGCTAATTAGGCAGCTCCACAGTAAAATAAAAGTTGTGTGTAGACGTTCCCACTATGTCTTAAACTGGTCTTAAGAATTAAGTCCTCCTCTGCCACACACACATACTTTCTTGTTTTGGTGAGAAAAACATTCTTAGTAGAAGATTCATTGTAACTTGCAAATTCCCACAAGAAGTCTTTGTTTACACTAAGCAGCATTTTCCAACCTAAAAAGGGTTGCTGGAAAGTTCCTAAGTAAGCTCCACCTAGTCTTCCTTTAGAAGCTGTATTTCTTGCTCTTAAGCACAATGAAATAGAACCTCAAGAAATGCACCTTGTCACAGTCATCAGTGTAGTCATGATAATCTGAACTAGCTGGGGACTTGCTCTACATAGTTCATAATCTGCATCTGCTCACAACCTTGAAAATGAAAACTTCTTTTAAATAGTATGAACACTTATCACTTGCAGAATAACATTACTTTAGTACTCAGAACAGGATTTATTTTCATGCAAGTTATTTCTGTATGTGTAAAAAGCATCAGGCTTTTTAACTGTGCTTATATCAGTCAGCCTGGCCTCATGAATAGAGCACTAGATTGGGACTCAGGGGGCACACCTCAAAACTGTTTGAGGAGCTGCAAACCACATGCGGCACACATGCAACCATTCACCATGCTGCATGTGGCACCAACATTTAATACCAGGAATTCCTGGTATAAAAAAAAAAAAACTGCTGCAAAAAAATGGGGCAATGACCAACTTTTTTTAGGCGTGGTTTTTTTCTAACCCCAGGATCTCCCATAGTCAAAAAATGCCCCTGAACTCCAAAGTAGCAGCGCAGGAAATGCCTGTATGTGCAGCATGTGGCACCACAGATGGGTCTGCAGCACCACATATCTGCACTTGTCTGGATGTGCTCAGGATGTCTGAGTTCTCTTCCTGGGTCTGCTGGTGATACTGGGCAAGTAATTTGACCTCTCTCTGCCTCAGCTTCCCTATGCATAACATAATGTTAAAGATACCTATTTCCTTTGTAAAACATTTTGTGATCTATAACAGTTACTGTTACAATATGTAAATAAAAGGCCTGGTTCTCATTTATAGGAAGGCTATTTTACAGTGGGCCACTTGAAGCTGTCTGTATACTATCAAAGTGACGTAAAGGGGCCATCTTGCACTTGAAAATCAGGCTTAAAACTTCTTCTTGGATCTTCCTCTCAACCTTTTTCATATTTATATAACACATTAAAATATGATCAATAGATTTCATAAAACTAACAACTTTTGTATTTATTTCCTATAATTTAAGCATGCATTCAATAAAAAGAGCCCCTATCCTTTCCTGCAGTTTTAGACAGAGACTGGTGCAGGAAAAAAAAATCATTATAACTAGCTGGTATCCAAAAAATATGAAACCTTCAGAATCTGTCCACCATTTCCCTTTCTCCTCTTGGAAACACAGTGTGCTATCATTGCTCATGGAACTCTCTATTTGATTTAGACCCTATTGTGGGCAAGCTATTCTAAGAAGATGGACCTTTTCACTCTTGCATAGCTGCAGTAACTTCACTAAGATGCTTTCCAGATTTTGAATTAAGACAGCAAACCTTTCTGATGAAGGGCCTTGTCATTTCATATATTATGCCTGCAGAGTTTAAACAATACCAGTAACCAAAAAAAAAAATTTGATTGCCACCAATTATTTTTAAGTATTTTGCCCAACAATACCTTAGAAACATTAGCCTGCAAGGTTAGGTACCAACATTCAAAAAGTCTAAGTCTGAATTGATTAATTCTTCGCAGATTAGTCTAAAATTAACTGATAAGCAAATGAATAGACATTCACTTTTGATTCTAGAAATGTAGCCACATGCCTGCAGTGGCTCAGTCCAGAAACTGGGGTGCCCTAGAGCATGCCTCTCTGCTCAGCTGGAGCAGACAGCTTGGGCCAAGGCTAGCCTGCTGGCCCTGTGAAGGTGCAAAGCATCAGGGGATGAGGGGGAATTGAAAGTTAACTTGAATCTGGAGGGGAACTGGGACAGAAGTTCAATAAACTGATTTAACTTAAATCAGTTAAGTCTAATTCTACATCCAACCAGGTTTATCTTAAACTGGTTTTTTCCATTTTGAAAGTGATTTATGTGTACTGAACTTCAGTTGTGTTAGAGATTTGAACCAGTTTAACCCATATGAGAGTCTGCATATGGCCCATATCTGTTAACATCGAAGCATTCTTTAAATCTTTTCCCTATAGTATTTTATTTCCCCCCTCCCTCTAACAGTAGCAGGGTTTAGGCCCAGATAAAAATCTTAATTTTCAAAAAGAATGTAAGAACCTTTCTATACCTGAGGAACTGCACTATTTGCTTTTAGTTTTAGTTAGATTTTCAAATTACTCCAAAACAAAGGTAAAATCTATCTGAATTTCAAATGGTGCTGATTTGGAGAGAGAGTTTCAGGAAGAGATGGATATCTGGAAGGCAGATCATACTAGCATAAATTTTCAAGGTTCAGCTGAAGCCAATGAAGCTGCACAGATTAATAGCAGATGAGGATTTGGCCCTGA